GGTATCCTTTGTGCCAAGACTGCCATTAAGATTTTGAGAGCTGTAATATCGTCTAGATGTAGATAGACGTGATGGCCCTGCTGAAATGGGGTGCATCGTTCGACTATCTGGTTCTGTCGCGCTGCTTGCAGAGCCTTGTGCGAGCACTTGGGAATCATCCCAGATCGAGAGAGCATTGTGGGCCCGGAAGATGTGCCGCGCGGTCGGATCTCCCTTGAGACTCAAGCCGAGGCAAGCAAGAAAGAGTAATGGAGGTGCCGTTCCCACGGAAGGTCATGTTGAAGATGACAAGCCCGCTGGAGGGCTGTGTGAACTCAGGTGGAACTGATGACAGGGAAGGTTTCAGTGATGATGCTTGTCAGCGTTCGAAGATGCTCAGTTCACGGCGATCAGATGTCTCTGGTAGAGTGTGAAAACTTACTGAAATGCGTTGATGGTATGGCTACTTGTGTTGCGTTGGCAGGGGACAGGCGGTTGTCGTCGAACAAGGCTAGAGACAAAACCATTTCAAGAAAATGGAGCTAACACTATTTAGCACTAGATCCATTTTAATTAACTCCTTGAGGTGGTATCGGCACGTGCCCAGCTAGTTGGTACGTCTCTCTAAGTGGCTGGCGGCCCGGGTGGGGACGGCATTTTCACTTGCCCTCGCCAGACCTGTTCAGATTGTTCTCACCTCTTCCCCACAGTATGACCCCAGGTTCACCAGTCCGCACTGTAGAGTGGCCGACTGCTTCGCATCTTCTGTTGCCTTTATATGGATAACGACGAAATGCGCTGTGTTGAACCGCATAGTTGAGCATTCGGCCACATATTAATCAGGTGTGATCCTCACCCCTATCATCGTATACTCATTGGTGCTCGATGTGACTCTCCAAGTATTCAAGACCTGGCCCAGCGGCGGACGTCTCCTCTGAATGTTGTGATATGATTGCCATTCCGCACTCTGTTCACTTTCCACCTCCCGTCAAGCAACGTCGATAAATCTTGGGCAGAAACATCCCACCTGCATTATTCAAGTCACATGATCTTTCGAGAGAGGGATGACAACTGGCAAGCTTGATCAACCACGGGGAAGGTCCTGCGAGGAATGTAACCGGTAGGTGGGCAAGCTAGGACAAGGAATCTATGTTAACAAGGTCCCGCAAACAAGTAAAAAGGCGAAATGTACGTCGTTGTCTGTATTCATTTCTAGTTATCTGGTGACAATGACGCTGCGCAGCAAGAAATAAACAGTGGCTAATATGGTGTACAGGTGACAAGAAAACCCCAAAATGCCATCGATGCCAACAATCGGGCTCGCGTTGCGTATATCCCACTCGCCGCAAGCGCACGACCCTGGAGACGAAGTTTCAAAGCCTCCGACGAAAGCTGGTAGATTCAAACCAGGCAGGTCAACTAGGTTCGCAGGAATCCACCCTTGACATATCTTGAGATGCCCGTAGGGGCTGGTCTTCCCGAAGAAGACAGAAGACAGGGGCTAACGGTTCTGCACGCAGAAGGGCTGCTGGATAACGTCGACCTAGATGTCCTACGTGGTGCTCTTCAACGGAGAGAGCAAAGGGCTGTAACGACAACGATGGAATCCCAATCTTCACCATCCAACAAGGAAGTTCGGGACCATCCAAATTACCAGGATCAGCAAGAACAGGATATCTCGCTATCACTACCATCACTACCACCATCGATTGTACCAGACACCCCAAACCCGCCGAATGCCTTGGACCCAAGCGAAGGTCATATTCCTGATCACTTGGATGTTGGAGGACGACACGATAGCCCGTCGCACGACTCTCATAATTGGCTTGGGAACATGACCTTCAGTCCCTTCACTGACAGTTATGGAATGTTCAGTTTCCTGAACCCGAGCGAGCACTATGGTTAGTCGCAGGCTCCATTTCTCCCCATCTGACTTGCCATCCGAGTCCCTTCGTTATTGAGAGTGTGATATGAATCTTCTGACCTTTTCCTTTCTCGATTAGGCGATGCATGGTCAGGCTCCGCACACAGTCTGTCGGAAGATCTGAACCTCGCAGACAGGAATTCCTGTACACTCGCATTCCCACCAACATTAGTAGATGAATTGTAAGTAGCCCTTGAAATCCACTTTGATCTCATTTCCAGGCTCTCGAATATTGCGTGTGAGACCTTGACTGACACGCATGAACACTCATCTTCCTCTCAGAATCGACCTGTTCTTCTTACGAGTTCAACCCTCTATCCCCATCTTTCACGAACCGAGATTCCGCCAAAAGTTCCGTGTCGGCAGCAACGACAACGACAGATACGCGAGGCTGTCTATCGAAGATGCTTTGATCGTGGCAGCCATGATGGCCTTATCCGCGAGGTTCTCGACCAACGACTTTTTCTCGTCCACACCGTCCAAGGACAAGGGTAAAATGTTCGCCCGCAAAGCCAACGCTCTGTACGCGGAGGCTCTCCAGAGTGACGAACAGGGCAGCGACGAGGGGAACGACATCTCTCTCGGATTCCTCCAGGGATGTATCCTCCTGGCGTTCTACGAGCAGTCGAACCGAATCACGACTCAGAGCTGGCTCCTGATAGGCACCTGTTGTCGACTTGCGATCGACCTGGGCTTGAACGAAGTGGACAAGGACGCTCTCATCACCACCGAAATCGCCACGTTCACCACACCGCCCAACACCGATGTCGGGCACGAGTTCTCGGCAGCGAAAGACTCTTGGGTCCAAGAGGAGGAGAAGAGACGAGCGTGGTGGCTGGTGTGGGAACTGGACGTGTTCGCGGCCACCATACTGCGTCGGCCGCACGCGATCAACAAGGACCAAATGCACGTCTTGCTCCCAGTGTCGGACGCAGCATGGTTCTCAGAGACACCCACGGAGTCGATCCTGCTTCAGACGGGTTTCCTCCACGAGTGGCAGACGTTGGAAAACTGTGCCGACGCGGACGAACGGGCGTGGTTCCTGGTCACGACCCTCCTGATGGCCAGGGCCGCGGATCTCGCCTCTCCCGAGAACGGCTTCACACTGCAGGACATTGTCAACTTCGGCTCGACCTTGAACTGCTTCTCCCTGCTCCTCCCCCAGGGCTTCCAACTCGACTTTGTGCGCACGCCGTTCAATGAGGGCAGCTTTGCTGGCAATAACTGGGTGCTGCTCACGATATTCATGCTCCACACGTGCGTTTTCTTTTTTTTTTTTTTTTTTTTTCTTTCCGTCGCCAACCTGTTGATATCGATAAAACCGATGATCGATACTAACACCTTCCCGACTTTTTTATAGTGCCCGCGTCCTCGTCCGAAATGCACAGTACATCAAGTCCCAAACCGAGCTACATGACCCAGCCGCGGTGACGGCGCTCCCTTCCGGCCCGCACAATGATACCTATCTCGTGTTCCGGGCCATGGAGGCCTGGCCGCCCGAATACCTCATCTACGCGTGTCCATTTGTGTCGTGCACCATCATCGGACCGGCCTTTGACAACATCCGGGCCGCGCTGCTGTTCGAGCCGGGGAACCACGGCAACTATCTGTCCATGTTGAAACTGATTCTCAAGAGGATCGGGGCGTTTTGGGGCATTGGCGAGAGTGCCTTGAGTGAGTCTGCCTCCCTCTTTTGGCCCACCCCAAGCAGCACAGTGTATCCCACCCACGATGAACCCACCGACAGGATTCTCGCTGACGCAAAGCCGCCCCTTTCCCCCTCTCCCCACCATCCACCTGAATCCCACAGGGAGGGTGATCAGGGGATCAGGGGGGTGGGAGCGGCGCCGAATCGCACAGGACTCGTTGAAATCTTCGAACACGAAGTCAAGGTCAACGGCTCGTTTCGCAAACAGGCCTTTCACCGCTACGCAAAGGACTTTTCTTTGCTGGTGGTAGATCCGGCGAGGAATGCGTGACGCTCACAGCCATGCCATATTCATATGCATATCGCGAAACCAGGGGGTGGGAAAACGGGAAATGGATTTGAAGAAGAAACAAAACCTGTTGGCCCTTGTGCCCCAGAGGAACCAAAAAAAAATTGATCAAAAAGGCTGTTTATCGAAATTCATCCAGTGTTGCAGATTTGTTGTCTCGAGTTATGTAGAAATATCGTCGTCGTCTTCCAAGGACATAATACCTCTCGGCCCTCACCAAAGGAGGCGCCGCGATGGTGCCAATTTATCACAGAAAGACAACCTGAACCAAACAGTTCCAAAGATCATCTCTCTGTCTTGACAGTGAAACCTCTCAATACTCTACCCAGGATGGATCACTTCGGTACGATTCTAGGAGAAGAAACATGCCCATTCCCAAGTCAGTAGCTGGCCATTGGCAGTGGCCACTGGCACTGGCGGACAGCCTGCCCCCCGGTATGTACGAGGTATACCTAGCGTGCCTAAGTTCCGGCTTTCATCAATGCCGGTTGAAGGATATGACTAGTTTCACCTATCCGTCTTGACTCCGGACTCCAGACTCCAGACTCTGGTTTGTGAATCGCTCCCGCCCTCCTTCCCCAGAGGCCACAGGATGGGTATGTGGATAGAATGATGACTAAACCCGGACTTGGAATCCCCCAGGTTGTTGAGGGAAAGACGGGGAATAACCCCATGTGTGGACGCGGCAAGCAATACGTCAATGTCTAGCTGACCTACCACCAGGAAATACTAGCCACCGATGAGGGCAACGGGAACAGGACCTTGTCTTATTCATGATCATATTCTCACTACAGTTCCCGGTTCCCGTATGTCGCAAGGAACAGAGGTGACTGTCGCCTATCGCGTTGTCTTGACCTGTGTGGGAAAAGCCGGAACAATTCAGTCTTTGATCCAAATACAGACTATCGACGGCGAGGTAAACAAAGTAGGTCCGTTGCTATCCCGCTGTAGATGGCGTCAATCCACAAGAATGTGACCCGTTCCAATATGGCATGACATGACCAGCTCTTTTCTTCTCGCCTCTCTGCTTCCACCCCATCTGCCCGATAGAACACGTTTGGTCATCTTCCCCCGTCAATATTGGCTCCTCTGGCCATGTCTCACCATTTGGTCGAGCCCCCGTCAATCAGGAAGTCTTGTCCAGTCACATATCTGCTTGCGTTGCTCGCCAGATAGAGTGAGATACCAACATAGTCCTCGGGCATGCCAATGAATCCCAGCATGGTGTCGTTTTGCCACTGCTTTATGATCTCCGGATATCCCTCTGTCATACTCGTCAAGGTGTAGCCAGGGCTGATCGAATTGACTCTGATCCCACGTGGTCCCAGTTCTTTTGCTATTTCAGGTACCATTCCCCGGACGGCAGACTTGGTCACGGCGTATGCGCTTGAATTGTGCGTCCGAATCGCCACATAAGATGTTGTGCTAGCAATGACAATGATGCTTTTAGTCTTGCTCCTGTTTCCGCACCCATTGCTTAACATGTCCGTGGTCTCGCCACGATCTGGCCTGGATCCGATCATTGTTTGCGCGGCAAGTTGGCAGGTAAAATATACCCCTTTAACGTTGACCTTCATGAGCTTATCAAAGTCGGTTTCTTCGGTAGCAAGAAAGTCCTTGACTTGGTTGATCCCTGCAGCCGCGATGCAGATGTCTAGACCACCGTCACCGCAGAACGGATGAAGTGTATCTTCAAAAGCCTGTTTAAGGGATGCCACACACGACACGTCAACCTTCCGATACGCGGTGCGAATGCCGTAGGAGCTTGCAATACTTTCGAATTCCGTCGAAGGTGGGGAGATGTCAAAGACCACGACATTCGCTCCAGCCCGAGCAAGGCCAGTGACTAAAGCGAGCCCTATGCCTTGGTTGCCGCCAGTGACTAGAGCATAAAGCCCACGAAGTGAAAGCTGTGTGGTGTTTTCCATTTAGTTGGTGAACGGAAAGCACTTGAATGTTTGATGATTCTGGTAGTGGGTGGATGACAGCCAGATTTACAAACATACCTGTTCCATTTCAGCCCTTTCCTCTGGTCAGAAGACTGCAGTCTTGATGTTTGAGATGTTTGAGATGCTTGTGAATCTGGAAGAGGCGAACACTCTTGTTGCGACTCACGTAGCTCATATTCGCTCTTCTTGGATTGTGTTTGAGGACTGCGGCGGTGATCAGAATGCCGGGAACGGACGGTATTCTATGAGGCCGGAGATAGAAGTCAAGAACAGTTGAGACTCCATGTGGTATCTCGGCCAGGGCAGAGATTGGCATTGCGGGATGCCACGTTTCTCAGCAACCTGATTGGAGCGTTTGATACGATACTCCTACCCTTGACAGTCTGTAACTTGACATACCTCGGCGCCACGTTCACCTTAGGGCTTCGAACGCCATTGTTCTCTGACACAGTATTCTCGCTGTCAGAGAGAACAATGCCACTTTGGTCTTTGTAATGGCATACTTACCCTCCTTCATAAGAACGATCCATTAGAATGCTTATAGCCATATCACCAACAAGACCAGAACTGTCAGCGACTAGAAAAGTGGTCATTGTCACCGGCGCAGCAGGCACGTATTGGCGTGGCGACTTGTATGGCATTCGCTCGTGCTGGAGCCCACGATGTAGCAATGCGAGATGTCAACAGTGAGAACTTACGACAAGTAATTCAGAGGTTGAGCAATAAGGAGAATGGCAACCCTCCAACCTTCATGTGTTCCTCGTCGACATCACGAACCAGACCCTAATTAGAGACACCTTCGCCTCGATTGAGTCGAACTTGGCAAGTCGAACATCCTCGTCAACAACGTGGGTTACTAACCTTCCCGGAGCTTGTGGGAAATGTCATAGAGTGCGTTGTTCGGAGGTCGACATCAAAAACTCGATCTTTGTCTCCACAAGCAAGGACGCACAGATTCACAGATTGTAGTCTTCTTGGCGCACCAATATTTGGCCGTTTAGATGATTTGAATAAGACCTTTAGCAGCCCACCTGACCTTGTGTATCCTCGTGCAGGTATCCAACTTTTTCACTTTCGCAAACACATGCTTTTCTTGCGAGATCGGTCATGGTAGATGGTTCGAGGCGCAATAGACTCGCCGTCCCATCAGCCGGCGTGGGCCAATCGCATAGGACATGTGCCACGTCCTGAATGGGGTTCAAGTGTGGCAACTGAGTGGCTGGACTCAGTACACGTACTCAGTCCAGTGTGATTGTGCGTCTCCTTGCCGAATTTCAGCTGCACATTTGGTCTCTGGGTGTGGCTGAGCAATTAGCCGACGGGAACGTGAAGGGCCACAGGTGTACCTCGTACGCGCGAGTACTGTAAAACGATGTGCCCGGAAAGAGGCCGTTGCTGGTAGTAGTAGTCAGAGGGTGGTGTTTCAGCTGCGCCCGCCAGGGTTGCGCAATAGGACAGTTGGAATCAGGAAAGAGAAAGTCAATCCAATGCGCGCAACCATTGCTGGACAGGCGAATTGATCCTTTGCCCAAAGAACTCGTGACTCTGGCTACAGTGTCCAGTATATCAGAAGGCACTGCAGGAGAATGTGCCATGGGTAGCTGTTTGTGTTCTCGTCTCACAATCACAACTCTCAAACAAGCTCTGTACCAGCCAACCCCCTTATTAAACCAGTGCCAACCCCCCAGGGTCACCACCTCACCAAGCCAGGCCTGCTGGTCACCCCCAAGTACCTACTCTAGGCTCCGCTTTCTGGGCTGGGAACCACCGCCTGCTGCCACCATCTAAGCTTTTTGTCAAGCAAATCGCCGCCCACCTTCCCTCCAACACCCACCGCTAGGCACTGACTGCGGTTGCCGGCACCAGACCCTCTTTGACATCTTAAATCTCTCTTCTTTCTTCCTCCGCCTTGATAACTCGTTTTATCATTCATTCATCCATTGCAATCACCCTTCAATTATCGCAACCAACACAGGCTCATCAACCCACGCTCTCTTTTGATATTTGACCGATAACCGAGTCTACATCCCACGCCGCTGTTGCAATGTCGAGCCAACAATACTACCAAGGTGGTCCTCAGTACCCTCCGCAAAGGTGAGTTGTCCTGACTTCGAGTCCCTCTCTCGATACCGCCTGCCTACGCTGTATCTTTCCCTGTACCTCATGAGACTTGCTCGCAAGTTCGGAAAAGAGCACACGTTACCTGAGCGCATACATTTTCTGTTCCCTGCGCTCGCCCTGTTACCACGTTGTCACCGCACCTCTTCTCTCACCGTCACTTTTTTTTTTTGGCGCTGCCCACTAATTCATATCCTTCAATAGCTACGGAGGAGGTTACCCGCCTCAAGGCCCTCCGCAAGGTTACTACCCACCACCGCAAGGGGGTATGCCATACCAACAGCCTCAAAACTACCCTCCGCCACAACCGGCGCCTCGAGGACAAGACCGTGGATGCTTGGGCGCTTGGTAAGAAGCTCCATACCTCTTTTCCCGTCCTGGGGCCTCAGGAAATAGGCGCATGAAGGATACATAGCGACTAACATTGTTTGATAGTCTCGCGGCCCTTTGCTGCTGCTTTGTTTGCGAAGAGGGATGTGAATGCTGCGCGGACTGTTGCGAGTGCTTTGCCGAATGCTGCTGAGCGGCGACGATCCGGGAAGAGCAGAAGACGGTGGAAAAGGAGATTGGAAGAGAAGTCAGTGATTGACGAGCGAGTCGGGTACTCTTGAGAGCGACAAACGTACAACCCGAGACTACTCTTCCATTTGCATCCGCCATCCTCGAGCCCATGACACACATCCAAGCTACGAATCAACTCAACAACGGTCTGCGTCCTGCAGATCCACAAATCCAATAATGACACCTTCAATGGGGATATGGCATGGTACATACAGTGAAGACGAGCAAAAGCGCCTGCGTTTTGCACGAGTTTTTATCTCTCATTTCCTTTGTGCCTTCTGTGCTCTGCGTTCTGCTAGCTGCGCTTGTCTACTTTGAACAGAACTGCAATCAGCGCAAGGGGGGTGATACTGGGTCTTTGTTTCCGTGTTTTTCACCTGCCCGTTCAATAAAGCTTTGCAATATCAAAATCATTCGATCAAATGCTTACAGCCAAAGAAGGAAAGGGAGCCTTTGGATTTTCCTCTTGCATGGTCAAGTTTAGTTGCTGCCACCACCGTTTTTCCGCCCCGACCCAACCACCATCAGCCAGCCTCCCGCCGTCTTGCCTCTGGGATTCCAAGCTCACGGCACTTACATACAAGGTACTTCTGTGCGGTGCCCCCAGATCGAGAGGGCTTCATCCCGGATGTGTGAGTGATGTGAGCAACGTACAGGAGTCGAGCCCTAGCTAGCTATGCATAGCAAAGCAATCAGAGGATCTGAAACGATATGAGATAGCTGGTGGTGTGGCAAAAAGACTGCCAGGAGACCCAGCGTCCTCAAGAATCTTCGATTCATTCGTGGTATACAATATTAGAGACGCAGCAAGCGCACCGCTCAAGCCGCCCCAACTCATGGCTGTGCCATGGACCAAATGTCCGGAGCCATCGTCATCCTGTGCCCGTTGCAGGTGCGTCCCCAATGCTTGTGCTATGCTGAAAGCTTTTATATGTTCATTAACGATAGTAAGAAATTCGTCTTCCGTCCACGTCTCCCTGTCTCGAACGCACCACATGATCTAGAATAGAGACAACATCCATCAGCAACAGCATGTTAGGTGGTCCCAGCATACCCACTCAAAATCCCATCATCACTTGACTAGACTGGCCGCCGCCGCCGCTGCAGCTAAATCAGATCTATTACTCAGACTCCTTTGGCCGACAGTCAGTCTTGCCAGGTTCGGATTAGACGCCGACGAGGTCATCGCCGCATGTGACGCGCGCTTGGCTTGTGATGTCGCTTGAAAGCTCCCAGTCATGGTTGACTGGCGCCGTGGGCCTCCCTTGTTTGGAGAGGTCTCCTGTCGACCCGAACCTGGCGCCTTCAAGGTAGTTGGAGGTTGTGGCAGTGGTCTAATGCCCCCTCCGGTGGTGGTCAGAGAGTTCCCTCTCTTGACTGGTGAGTTCACAGCCGACTGGGTGTTCCTCCTGGTAGCGCTCGAGCTCATTTTAATCCCTGTAATAAATTCATGCTTGTTCGCCTCGTGAGGTGTCATTCGTCGTGTCGGATCCCACTTCAAACACTTAGTTATAAAGTCTAGGAATGCTTCGTCATCACATCTCAAGACTTGTCGTAAATCCTTGGAGCTCGGCCGCCTTCTCTTTCCCTTAGAAGATACCGTCAAGCGAGGTTTACCCATCGAGTCGAAGAAGAGCTTCTTCCGGCTACTCTTCTCAATGAGATGCTTTTCTGGAGGACCGAAGACTTCCATAATGCAGGCAAGTTGCTCCTGCTCGTTTTCCCCTGGGAAGATTGGATAGCCAGTGTAAAGCTCTGCCAGGATGCAGCCAACGCTCCACATGTCGATGGGCATGCCGTAAGACATTCCAAGAATGACTTCGGGTGACCGATAGAATCGGGATTGGATATAAGTGTACACCTTCTCGTGCTCGAAACAGCTGGAACCAAAATCAATCACTTTTATTTCAGAATGGACAGGATGCGCGAGGAGGATATTTTCTGGTTTGAGATCGCAATGAATAACCTTGTGGTGCTGCAGAAGGATCAGACATTGGAGAAGTTGTTTCGTGAATCGTCGGATCAGTTTCAGCGAGAAACCTCGGAAGTCGTGCGCTTTGATGAATTCGTACAGGTTCATACCCAGGAGGTCGGTAGAAATACAAAGATGGCCGCGGAAATAAAAGCTTTGATCGAAATTGACAACGCTGTGCTTTTTGTGAGGATCCTGGTATCGTGTTAGCGAGCGAAAAAAACATTCAAACCTCTCGTGCTCTCGACTTACCCATTCCTTGAGCTTCTGCAGGATGTTGACCTCCACAAGAGCCTGTTGATGGAATCTTTTCTTGTTGCGAATGATC